TGAAACTCTGTTTTTCGACATAAACAGAATATCGACAAAGTTTTGCGCACATTGGCAATGGAAACACAGCTAGTGATTGACAAATTTGTGAACAATTTGAGAGAAGAGGGATGATTGTGCACATAAACAGTCTTAGATCTTTGAGTTCAGCTCATGAAAGATGGGAGTAAAAACAAAGGTTTTGGGTTTATATTTCTGTTCAGTAACTGTCCCCATGATGCTGAGTTCCACCTGACCAGTAAGGCCCAGAAGGGGTTTTGGGAGCTAAACCTCACTTAGATGTCAAAATAAAAAGATCTAGCCTTATTTGATTGTTCATTTTCTCCTAAATGAAAGGTGATTTCTATATATCTACAGTCCTGAAAGTGAGTAAAGGTTTACTCAGGAGATGTTTACCTCTCATTTTAACAGACAGGAAACAGTTCAATGGAAATACACTAAACTGACAACACACTGTGAACATTTATGGCTTCAATAATCTAATCCATGAAAACACAAGTTACTGTTTTTGACGTTCTTCCTCACAGCTTCAGCAGAGTCCTCGGGATTCGACCTAAAACATCCCGACTTTTTGTCAAGGAACCAAACCCTGCAAACATTTTCCTTATAAGCATTAGGTTAAGGTAGATAACTAATTAAGTCAGGTCAAGTGTGAAATTGCACTTTTCCTCTAGAGTGTGGAGTTTACTGCTGAGGTACAGCAGCAGAGGTGAATCATTGAAGTGCCATGAATATGACCAATCAATTTACTGATTTATTGTAAATGGACAAAAATGTGTTTGAGTTGACGAAACATGTCAGTAAATTGAAAAAAAAAAAACATTAAATATGATCAAAGGTATGTATTAAAAATACTGTAAAAATGACACACAAGCTTGTCAACAATAATAATTGTTATTAAAGTAGGAATATCTACAGACTGAATAATATTCAGTCGGGCACAATAAAATGATTAAAATCACACGCAAAGCTTAATGAGTTGCATTTGATCAACTGTTTGACAAACATCTGGTAAATAATGATTATTTAAAAGAACAGGGTGGGCTTACAAACACTGCTCGTGCTCAGTGTGTCCT